GGAGACGCCCGCCATCCTACCGCTTTCAGCGATGGAATTCCCCACTATCGCCCAAACGCATTGCAGGATTGTTGGCCTCACCTTTTCCAAGGAATCCTTCCTTGGATGGGGCACTAGCTGCACCCTTCCCGATCGCAACATTCCCTGTTTACCCACAACTGAACGACCCGCCCTTGTGTCATCCTTGGGCGCCTTGGCCCTGGGCAGCAAGGCATATGAAATGGCAATTACACTCCGCGCAGCGATTGCCACGCCGATGGCTATCGCTAAGCGCCATTGTGGGGCTCTAGGTCCCCCTTGCGGCACAACCACACGCGCAAGGGAACTTAAATTTGGGTTTGCCGTTCTTGATTGTCGGAACTTGCACCATTGGTGCAAGACCTCGCATACGCCCACATGATCGGATGAAAGCAACACACGGTGAGCATGGTCAGGTGCTGGGCGCCATGGAAACGGCTTCAGAAAACCGCGCCTCTAACCTCCGTTGTGCTTTGGAAGCGGCACCCGGTTCAGGCCCTTTGTCGTACACCATTGCCATCACATCCAGACACACCCACGAACTTTCGATACCACCTTCACGATGCAGGATCACGCTGGGAAAGTGCATCTCGAGCGCAAGTGAGTACATTGCACCGCAGCTGCGGCACCGATAGCCATGTGCCTCCCGTCCACCACCCTCGAGTGCAGCCACTGGCCCACCTGGGTACCCACGGCACCCGACTTGGAGAGCCCCACCACTCACATAACCCCCATGTCACAAGGGTCGATTCTTACACAAGGACGCTAATTCAAGCTCTAAAAAATTCATTTCTGGAGCGCTCTTAGCCGTATCCCCAGCTTATTATATAAGATCTTCCGACCGTTATGTAATTTTTGCATCGCATTTTCATCCCAGACCGTTCCTTTATTTTTTTGCTTACTCCAAGTTTCAGGTGCAGCAGACTAGTCCCAAGCCTCGGACGTGCATGGGCCTTGCGACACCAGCCACCCAGCTATGAAGACGGCTCCCAAGACTCCCAACGACATGTGAGGAGAGGTGCGGCTGGACAGCATGCGCTCCAGCAATTCAGCAGACGAGGAAACGGAGCTGGGTGTGAAACACGTGGTCGCGCAACACTGCACATGAATGGCAGAACTTGCACCGCGTAAGGTGGCGCCCAGCGCCACAGCCCCAGCCGCCTAGGTGGCAAGCGGCGGGCGCCTGCCTGCCTCCCGATCGATTGATTGGGTCCCTGCTAGGTGCCAGGGCCAGTTTGTCTTGAAGCCACGCCCCAAGCATAGCTAAATTCTGTGTCTCTGCATTTCCCTCTGGCACCGTTATTTTTTAGTCACCGACTCTGCAGAAAAGGGCCCAACATTACGTTACCATGCAAGAGATTGAGTATGTTACATTATAGCAGGGCACATATGGATAAGGGCAGTCGACAGGGCAGTTTTCAATCCACAACAACAAAGGTGAGTGGTCCGTGCCCTCATCCATAACATAGTCATAGTGCGATGCACCATGCTTCAAAAGGAATCACATTGCGCTTAAGCTATTATACGTTGTGTCATATTTACCAGCATGTATCATGCACACTACCAACCGGTTTGCTGCACCATCTTTCGTGTGCCCTACACTTGAACCTATAAGTCCATTGTGCAAAATCTCCATCTTTGCACACCCTATAGCAATTGCAAATAGTCGCACATGGGCGGTGTGCCAGAAAGAGCAGTTCTAGATCATATCATCATGCTTTTGCACTGGCCAATCCTTGCCATCACCAACAAAAACGTTTGCCTTGGAAGGTTGATAAAATCTCAGACTGGGGTAATGTTTATGTCGCCAATAGTGCTTACACTCTATTTGTTAACCAGCAATATGATGCATGTGGTGACTGGCTCCCCGTTGAGGCAAAACTTAGGGTGTGCACATGGCACAAAGGGTTAATTGATGTTTAAGATAATTTAATATAAAGTGTTGATGAGTTAGATGAATTGGATGACATAATTTAGCGATGAAAACATGATCATTGGGTTGCTTGTGTCATGAAAATTGATATACTATATTAAATAACAATTATTTTAATCATTAAATCTATTAAATCCATTCATGATTATGATCAATCATCTAAATTTTATCATTACAAGTGAGTGTGATATTGCATGGGATCACACACACTAGGGCTATAGGTGTAAACTTATTGGTATTGGGTTGTTGGGCACGCTACACCATGTGCATTACATAAGGATAGTGGCCATAGTGTGATGGGTTGTGATGAGAGCGTGTCACCTCCTTGCCACCTGTGACGGAATTATATGGGTAGACCATTTACCCCTTTGACTTTTCCCCCTGTTCCCTGAGGCCTCTTATTAGGAACATTATTATCTTAAATTATATTAATTGACGACCCAATTAAGGGCCCTAGTAGATGGGATTAGGGCCCTAGGAGGATACTCCTTTATTTGGGTGATTTTTGGCCAGCTGCAGTACTTTATGGCAGCTTGGGGAATGGATGTACTGAGCACGGGTGACTTGGGCTGTTTTGGGGCTCTCGGCAGGCGACCCAGGACGCAGTGCGCCCTGCTGTACAAATGACATGCAGTTGTGACATCAGTAATCCACTTTGCTCGTTGTTTCTGGCAAACAACTCCGGATCGCGCGGATCGGACAACATCTCGCGCGACCGAGCTCGCATCATCCCGGACTCCATTGCCGCACTCTCAGCAACCTTCCAGGGATCTGGGCCCACCACCTAGGAGTGCACTAAGTGCGCGCGCCGAGCAAGCCGCGGCCGATCGCGGCCGCGCGGGCCATTATTGGCCATCCGGGCAACAAGGCGGCGGTGCGACGTGCATCGCGAAAACCAACACCCCATCACCACCCTTGGTAACATGTGTGAGTGCCACAGGTTGTTATGGGCGCTACGAGAGAAGTACGGAAAAAGCAAATGAGCACAGAGTATGCCGGTGGCTATTGTTGTGCATGGGATAAGGAAAATGGTGATGGAGTAATGGAATAGTATCACTAGAGTGGGGGGATTTTGACAGGAAGGAAGTATATTTTAGATGCAACATATAAATTTGTTGTGTGATATGACATTTGTATATGATAGTTTAATAAGAAGTGTATTTAGAGGGAAATGGTGTAAGGTGGCCAGGTTATAGGATAAGGAATGGGGTGGTATAGCCTAAGAGATTTTGTTGTAGTGCTAGGGAGTGGTGTTATGGAGATATGGCAGAAGATAAGGGGGGGGAAGGGGTTCATTTGCGAACTGCACCGAACGCTTTCTCACCCCTGTCTTTGGGCCTAAGGGACCAACCACGACCCCAGAACAAGTCCAAGGTACTAGAACAGCAAGAAGGACTTGGAATTGGACCTCAGAACTAACCAACCAACTAAACAAATGTTCAGAAATCGCGTGGAGAAGCTCTGGATCATTTGGAGTGGAATTGAGATCAGTATGGGGGATCTTCTGGATTAGAGGCCCAAGTGCTAGATGGCTAATGCTCATTAATTTTGGAATCGACGGGGATGTGGAGTGAATATTCATTAAACATCTTAGTGCTGCAATTTGCTTGTGTTGGTGGAATTGAAGGATGCTTAGACTATTGACTTGGAGATCAAGCTGGTGAATACTTGAACAATCCTGTTGGTTGTAAGCATTAATTTTTAGTGATGTCGTGAAGTGTTCAAGAGTTGTGCCCGTCATGTGGTGGAGCCTCATCCAGAATATCACTCGCTAGCATTGGTTGTATGCCTAGGACAACAATTACTGTCCTTGGGCACAGAAAGCACGTGCAGGTAAGTAGACCTATGCTAAGAACCGGCTCTCGAAAATATCCAAATTCATGCCTATTTACTGGATTCAAACTTTTGCAAAGAATCGATTGTAGATGCCCAAAATGTGAAGAAGATAAATGCATGATACTTCCCTTCACGATAATATTGTTAAGCAACACCCTTGAACACAAGCGCCAATAAGTACTCCAAGAACCCCAAGAACTGGTTGCACCCGATTCCATCTAACGCACACCACCAGCAAAGCCCGCTATCTTATTCCATCCCATAAATTTTTAGCAGCTCTCTCAGATGCCAATTGTTGTGCCCACCAAGCTCATACCATTGGATGCAGCTACCAAAAATGAGGCAGTGAGCGTGTCCCCTTGGGTATGTTCTTTCCGCATCAGCCCTCGACAACATTGAAAGTAATGCTGCAACCAACGCACAGAGAAAGAATGTCCCCTGTGCATTGCGATCGCTTCCCGTCATTTCAATAGGAACAGGAAAATACATAGTCCCCAGTAGTGTGTGTATCAATTGTCGACAGCTATGCAGGGGCCCGATACCACTTCCGTTGTGAATGGAAGCAGTGAGTGGTAGGACAGATTTACCTTCATGGCAGCGTGCAAATGTCCCATTGACTGCGGTTTCAAACACTTGCTTAGCGCCCATCAAAGAATTTGTCGCCCGCGTGCAGTGCCAATCAAAGTGGCAGGTGCGGATCTACAGGCAGGCAACCTCTCAGCAGCCAAGGGAAGGTCGATGACCAGCCTACAAATCGACCGACATGCGTGCCAGGACTGGGCTGTGTGCCCTCTGTTTTGGAAGGACAGGGAGCCAAACCTTGTATTCAGCACCGCACCTGTCCCCTTTTACACAATCTTTGAGCATCATTTGGCACCCGCGAATACACCGCGCTTCAGGCATCCTCTTGTTCGCTTACCAATCCTGTCTCCATCACATCCCCATACCAAAATTCCAAACCCACTCTCCCAGATACTGCAACGGATATTCGAAGAACATTCCCTCATGTGGAGATATGGCGCTCTTTCCCATCCCCGTAGTGGCGAGCACTTTTGCTCCTTTTCCCCTTGTGGCCAGACCCCGACTTGCCAGTCATTCCCATCCTCACAGAAACCTTTGGAACTCTCGAGAAAAGATGAGGGAACTTACTCTCATGTGTACAAGCATGTGGCAAATTACACACGTGTGTGTACTTTGAAGTGGATTGGCTCATCTACCTGCCGCCGGTAAAGGAACTGCATTCATCCGGATCTTTGATGGCGGAACAAGCTTCAGCGGCATCAAGCCACTTGGCCTTCTCCGCCTCCGACGACCCGTACAGAAATTCGACGGCTCCCTTGTCCGACAGATCGCATTCTCCTGGAGAGAGCCAGAACCAGTTAGGAAACGAATTGTGTGCACAGCGCTGATCCATAAGCGGGAACGCATGACATACCATGGGCAATCCAGCTTGGGGCCACTCATCCAATAAATTTTGCCTGCAAGTAGCCTGACTGTGGCGGCCCGCAGCGCCGCTCATGTCGCAATTCCTTGTCAACTGGTTGAAATATCAGGAAACCTCTCACTGAAGCAAGCCAAATGGGGTCAGGAAAGCGCGCAGTGCTTGGAAACTTGGGCTCGACTATTGATACCGCTTTTTGACATTATGATCCAAATTAGAAAATATACAATGCCAAATGTGTGCTTCCTGCAAAATGATACTTCGCACAAAATGAAGTGTATACAATAAGAAAAAAACTGCAGCAGAATGGAACATAGAATGCTCGTGCTGCTTTGGCAAGCATAACCAAGTTCCCTCGACTGCGATCCACACATCTGTGTTTCCAGCCTACACAGTTCTGATTCAACACAATGGTCCTTCCCACCATATATTGTATCAAAGAACACCCCGCGAAGGTTTCTGCTCCGCGATGCACATTCGAGAGAAGGTCCCCGAGGTGCTCTGCCCGAAACAAGTAGACTTTGGTGCAGTAGTGTGGCAGCACTGCCATTGATACTATGTCCAGCAACGCTTAAGCAAAATCACATACACCAACATCAACTTTCTCGACATTTAAAGGAGCCGATTCGTGATGCAGTGCTACTTCAATGTTGTTTTACTGGCCGTGCTCCCGCACTATTCGTCTCTGTGCCAATGTTGCAGTACTGTGCCAATAACTGACTATAGGACTGCATCAAAAATTGACAATACTGTATACACACGATTGCATCAACGTCTACCATTTTTCCCACAGGCCTCGCACCTTCTTCGTCAATCTCGCATGCTCCTGTGCATGTGGAATCAGCAGGAGCGAAAACACAACCGAAACCCAGCTTCATGTACTGGCAGAACGTGGACGTCGCGTTTGGCAAAAACCATTCCGTGGCGTTGGCAAGCGGACGGTAAATGCATTCTCCCGAGTCCGCTTCACCACATGGCGAGACGCATGGGTTGAATAACTGGCACCTGGCAGTCTGTGCTGCGGCGAAGGCAAGCCTGGGACTCGCGCTAATTGCCTGCGCGCCACAGAAACCCAGAGATATTGGCTCAGAATCTGGGAAAATTATGCACGGCACGTTCTGCGTAGACTAGACCACTTTGCGTATCAACAGATGTTTGTCACGTCCATGTTGTTGAATAATTTCTGGGGCCATTCCCACACCTGTTCTAACATGTTCAGTAGCACATGCTCACCCTAAGGCCCATGTTTACGTGGGCAGTGCGAATTTCGAATTGGAACAACAAATCGTTTAACATTGCCACTTGCGGCATCAAAACTCGTCGATTTCTCAGGAGCCTTGACGAGCAGTGCGACCTGCCCATGCAATCTGACAGGGCGAAGAGAACTCGCTCACTGAGTCCAGTAAACTGTGCTAGGGCCGGCCTCTGAAGTGCTACGGTGATTTCGAACACAAGAACGTCCTGCACCCACTTTTGCTTGTTCGCCTGACACAACCCAGGGTATCTGACTCGTTTAGGCCTCGGCAATGTGCAGGTGCAACACATTCTTAGTTTGCTTTTAATTCGCAACATTGTATTGACTCCATACACTAGGAAGAAAAGGGCAAAATAACACGTGTTCAAACGTGTACAAAGTTTATGGGTTTGTGTTGTTTTTGTGTTCTTAGCATGCACAATGTTGATGAAATGTGTTTTATGTGTGTTCGCAAAAGTGTCATTTGGCCCATTTTTTCCTAGTGATATTCATGGTCAATTAAAGGATTGAAATAGGCGTGCATGCGCAGTTGCAGTTACAGCGGCGGTGGCGGCAACAGTGGTGGCATCCACAGCCGCTGTACTACTGGAGAACGGTGGGAAAACCTCTGTGAATTTTTTCACGGTTTGCGGTGGCCTGCCAGCAAAACTGGCCTGCCAATTGCGGCTGAAAGCACAGAGCTGTGAACTTTGGGACAGCTGACCTTGCTAGAGCGCAGAAATGGGTGGCTGAGAACGTCAGGAACTGGGTGATGCTCAACCAGCAATTCCTCAGAGGCCGAGGGTAAGCACTTCTGTCATTGCCAAGTGTATCAAAGCTCGGTAAATTTGCTCACCTCAATTACCGCTGCTTGATCTTCCTGACACTTTGCATCTGTTCCGCTCCTGCAGCGCCAGGCGAGTGTCAATCAATTGATGTGAATGGCGCGAGTCCATGTACAAACATGCATCGATTCTTGAGAACTCGCAAGGCAGTAGCATAGTAGTAGGCCATCAGAACAGCCAAAAAATGGGCTGAGATTGTGACCAACACTTTACCAAAATAAGACACCGAACAACGGAATGAAGGGGTAATTTTGTTTGCACATATCAGAATGTACTGCCTGTGTGTGCATGTGCACTTACCACTGGCATCCTGGCAAGGACAGGCAGTTTGCTTTGAGAAAAAGCGATGAGCATTGGCCAGCCCGAAATGCGACCATGTAGTGGGGGTCAAGACAGTCCCTCACTTTGCGAGTGAGATCCAGCAGACAGGTTGGCGAATCTGCAACGAACGTATCATCCCTGCAACAGGGACAGCAGGCGTCGCTCAGCCCTGAACAACGACCCATTTATCAGCAGCATTGAGCATGAACAACGATTGAATATACATAGGCAAAACATACCTGTGAATCGATGCTATGTAGAACAGGACGTAACTGGCTACTGTGCACCACAACTGCACTGAGGGCAGCAGTATCAATGACCTCGGCACCAATTGTCAATGTGAGCACCTGTGTAGTAGCTTATGCAGCATTGGCAGGATGTACACACTAAAAAGCAACGTGCAGCTTCGTGGACATTCAGCACATACTTCTGGTGTGGGACATCCAGATACGGTTTACACATGTTTATGTAGAAAGATTGCCTTGCAGAAGACGCAGAGGCCTGTTGTCAAAACTTGACATTCAATCGAGCCAACTGCTAGTCGCGTATCCCAAATACAAACGTTTTCTGCTGTTGCCAGCGGAATGCCGCAGAGAAAGTCGGTGATGTGCATGCCCAAATATACAGATGCATTATCGCAAATATACATGATGCTAAAACACATGAATCAATAAGCACAACGCTGTCAAGCGAGTCGGATTTACCAGTAGCACTGTGGAGCATCAAGGCAGGTGTCCTTCGAGGAGATCTTCAAGCAAGTCTGCAAAACAGGGCTCTTCCGTCAAGGTACAGAAAAGGCAGATGCTTGATGAATCATTATCACCATTTGGTGCGCAACTAAGTGCCAGATTTATGTCTTCTGGAATGACCTTACAATATGTTCACTATATTGTGGAGATACTGACAGCCGCAGTCTAGAACACGGTGTGACTAACTCACCGCAATGGAAACTTTTTGCACGCACAGCAATGCGGTGCTCGTCTATAAAGTTGGGCGACCCAAATGCAGCCGCTGTAGCCCATCAATATCTCCGAAGCAAAGCCAGCATTTCACCAAGGGCCACCTTACCTGACATTGACCAACACTTCATACATTTACCGTGCATGATGCACTACCGCTCTATGCTTCAATCTGATATTCTGGAGGTTTGGTGCCGCTTGCTAGGGTTTTGCTTTCGGCGTCTTGTTCAATCAAAGTCGTGGACTTTTCTTCTCAGTCGGCATTTGAGGGCTTGCGCAAGCAGGAGAAGAGGGTCCATGGCGTGGAGGAGAGCAGCACGGCCACCATATCTGCTGCGTAGATTGTCGATTGTAAATAATAGAGATGAAGAAAGTTGACCAGACACAGGGGCTGACCGGCGAGGTATGATTCTGTGATATACATGATATATGATACATGATTCTGTAATGGGATAACATGCACCATTCTAGAAGATTCCTGTGCCATGAATGTCATTCAAATTTTCTGACTGTTGGATGCCAGTGGAGCGATGGAACTTCCGACTCTGGATTTGCGGCCTTTGCAACTGACTGCCTTACCAGGCACATCGAATCCTTGTGTTTGCGGCAGTAAACCAACACCTTCAATGTTTTCTGTACCTCCATGTGGCATGTCCACCGGGCCAGTGGGTCCCATTTTCGTGACCACCGCAACAAGGCAAGTGAATGCGGACCAAGAAAGCAGCATTCCATCGACCTCCACATTCTTATCAGGCACTCACATTTGCTGGACACTATTTCCTTGTGCCCGCAGCTTCTCATCGGCGCTTTGTATACATCAGCACACACAGACCATTCTCGACCGGATCCGGGGATAGTGCACCCATATTCATGAGTGGCGTGAAAAAGCCATGCACCTGGTCAATGCAAGAGTCTCCTCTGAACTCAGATGGTGAGGAGACATCCCTTTCAACAGAAACACGTTTTAACAAAGATCTAATGCTTACCTATGGCAGTAAGTTGAGCCTCGCAGTGCTCATCAAGTAATTCCCAAAATCTCACATTGTTGTAAACCCAACTCGTCACTGCACACTGAGTGCAGGACTTGCGTTTGCACTGCGAATTCATTGAATACCGATCTTACAACAAGTTATTTGCATTAGGAGATCTGGTGAATAGTCATTGGAATGATCGTAAGCACATTGCGCATGGATGAATTGGGGTGTAATCACCTGAATGGCTGACGCAAGTACATGAAACAGCATGAAATACATGAGAGGTAATTCGCAGTTTAAGCACTATTTAAGCTCTGCTCCAAAGCCGCGCTGTTGATGTGTACAATACCAATACGCATGCCCACAAGAAAACCGAAAATGGCCTCACCTCATAGTCAGTAAAAACCTGTGCGAACTCGGAATCTGGAGCATTCGATTCGTAGCGTGCCGTACATGAATCTTCATCCCAAAAGCACAGCGGAGTATTGGGCTGCAGCAACCTCCTCGCTGCAGGTGAGCCTGATGGAAGTTTCACCTAGATTAACAGAAATCACGGAGGACAGAGAAAGCATGAGCTGGATAAAGAAAAAACATGAAGTTTTTGTTTTTGTTGTTCTACAGTCCTCGTACTATTCAAGGTAACGCCGCAGTGTTTTTTCAATTATGAGCAACGAAATGCAAAAAAAGTGCAGCACCCGGAAACGCAGGAAGCGAACGCACTGTTGAGGATGGCGTCACCAAAACAAGTCCATCGCATGTGCAACTGCATGATTCGCGCTTTCGAATATTCAGGCGGCCACTTTCCTGGCACGCAATCACGTGTGGCGCCCGTAAGGCTTGTTATTTACAATTGTGCCTGCGATTTACATTCACACATTTATGTTTACATAAGCAAAAACGCAAATTTGCAAAGGGTCCATTTTGCGGCTGTTTATTTACGTTCTGCGGCTCGCTGTCACACCTAGGTGACACGGCGACAGTCGCGTACAATGTTGAGTCCTCCGACCCCTCGAGCACCCACAACACAGCGCCCACCTGGCCCTTGGCGAAGGCCATGACGTCATCCAACAAAAGCTCGTTTTCAGCCCACTGCAGGGCGTCTGGCTGCCACTCCCAGGACTCGGTGCTCTATATGCACTGTCTTTATGTACTCGGGCGGGTGTTTATGCTGCATTTACGTATTTCTAGCCCTTTTTATGCGTAAAATGAAAATATTTTTATGCGCAAAAACGTAAACAAGATCAGTTTTTACGTCGAAAACATAAAGCCTGACGCTCACGAAAGCAAACAGCCCAATGGCTACAATTATCTGTGCAATTTTCACACAATTGAATTGAAGTGGGCACGCCTGCTCACGTGAAATCGATATCCCTATTGCCATACAATGTGCTGGTGTACACTGGCTTGCGCATACATCAATATGCCCAATCATTCTAGAAATGAAGCACAATAACAACAGCATACTCTGCGAAAGAAGCTCCCAGAACTCTGCAGAGCTAGCACACATTTGTGGTAATTGCTTCAGTGCATCTTGTACACAACTCAAGTTTGTTATTCGACGTTATCGCAGATACCTTTGCGAGTATGTTCTGAAACTTGAGGTGCGCTCGCTGCAGTTGTGGTGACACGATGAGGTGCTCAGCTCCTGCTGCCTCAATGCCTCTGGTAGCGACAAGAGAGAGAAACAACAGCGCACACCAGCGGACGGAGCCTTGCATCGGATTCCCCATTTGAACCTGCCGCACACGCTAGAACTGGTCAAGGAACTGGCGAAGCGTGGCTCAAAAGCTGGAGATATTGTCTCGAGACATGTTTTGGGCTGCTAAACTGGGCCCCATTTGAGTGGCTGGCGGATTGCAATGCATGGTATTCGACTGTTTGACGCTGCTGTGAACTTGAAAGAAAATTGCTGCTCCATACCATTCCAGTGTTGAATGATGCGAAACCAATGTTCGAAGAATGCTTGAGGCCGTTGGAAGATGGCGCTTTCACGCTTGCTCAAAATGTTTGATATTTTCAAACACGAGGACAGTGAAATGTTCCATGACACAGTAACTATCTCATATTGCATTTCGCTGTCTTGGCAACTGTTGCCAAATGCAGCGGAGGGCCACTTGAATGCCTTACAAGCAGCACAAGCAGGGCCACTTGAATGCCTCACAACAGCAGCCAGTTGGCATGGAACAAAACTTGTCAGTTCTTTGGTGAGCAAAGATTGCCATGACATAGAGACAGCATTTCGTGTCGAGCCCTGAGCCCAAGCCGCTGCGGGATACAATGTACCAGCGTATTTCAGTAGAGGAATTGGCCATGAAGGCAGCGGCACCAAATGGCGTTCCCGACGTCCACATACTGGAGCTGACTCGATGTCAGTGATATTCCCCTGGATTGCAATTTGGTCCATTGCCCCCCGCACGCCGGCGCGACAGCAGTCTCATCTGCATCGATCCATGCGGCACAGGCTGTCCCCGCCATCAGGAAAGGCGTCCTCCGGACTCCCCCAAAACGCGCGGCCGTCCAAGTGGCGCAGCACGGCGACCGCATGGCGGCTCGATTCCGTGGCCCTTTGCCAATCACAAGGCATTCAAGCGCCGGTGTCGCGTAGGACCGCAAGCACTCACGGACGCACATTGCGTGATTTGGAAGAACCCGAGCCAGCTGGTAGAAATCTAGGGACTCCAGTGCCGCGCACTCGAAACGACGATTGCCACGCGCGGTGGTTGAGCCGTGGCCCCGCCCGTGCCCGTGAAGGCAAAATTGTCCGCGGTTCCTCCACCACCGAAACAAGAGAGCACCATCTCCAAGTGCCCGCGGCCAGCCAGCCGACCCCAACGGCGGCAAGCCCACCCATGAAGCAAATATATACCCATGCAGATTGTCTGATTTTGCCCAACACCAACTGCGCCGTCATTGGCAATTCCCCATCTGGGGCGTCCGGTCTCAAGGGAGGGCGCCGGTCCCACGACATTGTCTGGTCGCTGCCAGTGCGTTTCGCAAAGTGATTCGCGTCGGAGCGTGCGGTCATGGACAGGCCCCGTGCCTGCACTCGCGCCCGTCGACTCCCTCTTGCCGCGGGAGCACCAGGCCAGATCCGCGACTGGGGAATTTTCCCCCGTTTCAAGCACGGCAGCGGAGGCGCCAAGCCGTGTCGGGTCAGCACAGGCCTGTGCGCCCCTCTCAGGGCAGCACCGCCAGTCCACGTGGAAAGCCGCAGGACGACGGTCCAAAAGCGCACGCCTCCAGAAGCGCAGCAAAGGTGGGCACATGGGGGGACGGCGAATCCAATGCGCACCTTCAACGACCGACAGAAGTGGGCGCGGAGTGGGGAGGGCTTTGGCGCTGATTGCCCGCGAGTGCTCAAGGACTGCGAGGCAGTCGAAGTCGACGCGTGCGACCTTATTGCTAGCGGAGGCCAACCCCAATTCTCTCAAAGATTCGCGATGTGACGTTTGCTGATTGGGAGCGCGGCACCGCTTCATGCTCGCTGCAGCCAACCTAGGGTTGGTGCGTGTACACATTCATGGCAGCTGTACAGTCCCTGGGGTTGTCGACGTTGGGACCTTTCTAAACACATTGAGTACATAGCAGAGAATCGGTTGTATTTGCCATATACGCATATATATCGTCATACGACGATATCGCATGCGCTGCGAATTCGGCACCGCAGCCTGCACCGGCTGACTCGCCACTTCCACCCTCGTTGCGTTCATTGAGCTGCCCATACACTGGCAAAAATTCGACCATTTTACACGGCGTACAATTGGACAAAATCGTGTTAATATCGTGTACAAATCGGGTGCTTCAGAGCACGATTGTACACGATTGCTATAATCGTGTAGTTTTTAAACCTGTTTAGTACACGAAAATGGTCCACCTTACCACCATGGGCAACACGACAAAGCACACGGTTTTACACGATTTAAACAGTGTACCAGCGGCAAATGTGTATTTTGTGATTAGTACACGATTGGTACACGATGGTCACACTTTTACACCATTTTGACACGCGCAACACGGTACACGAATTTCTGGACCGTGTACTTTGGCCGATTTTTACCAGTGATAACGAGGGCAAGCCACCAGCCAGCGTGCGACGCACATCTCTCATTCTGCCAGCTGTGCCCCGAACGGATAGGGGGTGCAATTACGTGCGCGCTCAAGGCACCTGTGATGCATATGGATGGCTGTCCAAGCGCTAATAAATGGAAGTATTCATGGCACAAGCGCCATCACGCCAAACGCATCGAGAACCCAAAACGAAACATCCTGCTTACCATCCCTGTTGCTGCAAATCTCTCAAAATCAAGGCGCCCCGTAATGTTCTGCTTCAAGTTCCCCATCGCGACACGCAATCCGACACCGTGATCCAGGGATCTGTGGCTTAGATTCCAAGACCTATTTTCTTCGCTTGGGCAGGTGTTGGCATTCCCATACGTGCAACATCAAGCACTCTTTGCCCCTCTTGCTACACGAGGCAGTTTCGGCCTTAATCCATTCTCGTGACCACAACGCGCTCCCGTTTTTCATCTCAGCTGCAGAAAGCGACGCTCACGTGCGTCATTTCAAATCATTTCGGCTCCTCATTTGCCACCTGCGAAGGACCCGCATTCGCCCGGGTCTTTGATGGCGGAACAAGCCTCCAGGGCGCCCAGCCACTTGGTTCTCTCCGCCTCCGATGACGAGTACAGAAATTCGATGGTTGAGACATCCGACAAACTGCAAACTCCTGCAAACGATAAATTAGCATTAGTTAGCATAATTAGCATTTAATTAGCATAATTAGCATTAGCAAGCATGGGGAGGACCATGCTGACGCCTCAACGAAGGGGCATGTGACATCATAAGCAATCCACCGTGGGTACCTGTTGTCCCACGAATTTCGTTCAAAATGAGCTTTGCTTGGAAGCACAGTACACGCACAAAGTACTGCACCGCTCTTATTATGTTAATTTGCAATCACGATGAAATTAGGGGATCCATACTGAATCAACCCACATACTCTGCGGGAAGCACAAGTGCTCGAAAATTCAGATTGAACATCCCACATGTACTTCTCATTGATCAAGATATCTTCACATACGAATACAATCGATAGATCGCACAAAAACACAGCTTAATGACAAAATGACGCAGTAGAAATTCGCGACACAGAATCGAGGAGAGGTCCATTAGAATTGCCCCAACAATGCGCAAGCAACTTGGCGAGTTTCTCATCTGCACTTCCGCGTCTTTGCACTTTGATCACTGGCAAAAAAGGAGCAAATAACACTTTTGCAAACACACATAAAACACATTTCTTCAAATCTCTGCACGCTGAGAACACAGAAATAACCCAAACCCGTCAACTTTGTACACGCAAACACACATAAAACACATTTCTTCAAATCTCTGCACGCTGAGAACACAGAAATAACCCAAACCCGTCAACTTTGTACACGTTTGAACACGTGTTATTTGACGCCTTTTTTTTAGTGGATCATGTGCACATCCACTTGCAGTTTGCATCGACGATGCCCAGTATCCGCTCTTAACATCGTGAACACATTGCAGAGTGAATCCTCAAGGCTTTCCGCACCTTCCTCGTCAATCCCGCATGCCCCTGAGCACGTCGAAACTGGAGAAGCGAAGGAACAGCCTAGGTTCAACTTTAGGTATTGGCAGTATGTCGACGTCGCCGTTGGCGAAAACCAGGCTGAGATGTTCCAAACCTGAGGACTAACGCAAGCCCCTGATTCGTCTTCCCAGCATGGTGAGAGGCATGGGCTGGATTGCTGGCATTCCTCGTTCTGTGCTGAGGTTGATGCAAGTGCGGAGTTGGACCCGATCGCCTGGGCAGCACAATGTTCCTGAGTTGTGGACACAGAGTCAGCAAACTCAAGAATGTTTCGATTTGAGGCAATTGGTTGTGCCGCCCAAATTATTTAGATATCCAAGTTTTACATTTTCAATTCAAGGAAACTTCCCTTCTGAGTTTTCGTGTGCGATGACGCGCATATAATTGAAGGTCCGTACTTGTGTGGGTCCGTGTGTTTTGTCAAATTGGATCGATGCCAATTTGTTGATATTTCCAGTGGCGGATTGCAAGCTCAATCACTTCAAGCACACACACCTCCTTCAACAAGGCACAGTTTTGGCAGAAAGCAATGTCTTTGCAAGACCAACCACCATGCCATTTCGACACAAAGGCGAGCTGTCACAGTGATTGCGATGGGAAAATTTATCTATAATGCCATCTAAAGTTGTCGAATAGAATCGCAGTTGACAACGTGGTTTTCTTCTAGCGAGGGCAACGGCGTTTTCGAGAAAGCCTTCGTCCAGCCTCCATTCTAGTACGGGCATATATGCTTCCTCATTGTCGATTTCCAGGGAGTCGACAATATTACTCACCTCAGCTACCGCTGCTTGGTCCATTTGACACTTGGCATCTGTGTCGTTCCTGTGAAGTCATGTGAGTTTACATCAATCAAGTGCTGGATGGGGGGATCAAAATGGCTCATCGAAAATTTGAAACACGGCAGCCAGCAAGAGCAAAAGCCATCAGAAATAAAAACAAGAAGTCAAAAATTATGGGAAGGGCGGCAAGCAGTCTTGAAGCAGAACAGCCTATTGAGGTAACATAACATGGCACCTTGTTCCGTATATTGAACGCCAAATCTCTCGCATCAATGAACGAATAAACATTCTTAAACGCAACGTGAAAAAATCGACACATTATCATGTCGCGTGTCTGCACCGACTTCAAATAGTCGTACAGGGTCCTTTCAAATTTGTGACATGGCATGGCATGACATGACAGGACATGACAGGACACGACACGACACGACACGACATGACAGGACACGACACGACACGACATGACAGGACACGACACGACACGACACGACATTTGCACTCACCATTGGCATCCCGGCAAGGGGCGACACCTGTCTTCGCGGAAAATCGTTGCACATTGGTGACCAAAAAATACAACCATGAAGTCAGGCTGAAGGCAGCCTTGAATCGTGTGAAAAAAATCCAGTGCACAGATTCCATCCTCTTCCCCGGGCGCTTCATACCTACAAAGAAAGTGGCGAAAGAAGTTCAATTCCACACAATTTGCCCAGTTATTCCTTGTACCGAAAATGGAACAACGAAGATCGCCAAACGAGGCGAATTTGGGGGCATCCTGGAGAATTGGTGTAAATTTTGCCACTATGCAATAAAAAGCTAGACAATCCCTGCCGCCGGCTGCTATCGGCAATGCAACCAGACACGTACTAGATTTACGAGCTATTTGAATTACGGCCACATTGATCAACACAACAGATTTACATACAGGGCATGAAAGGCAATTCCACGCGTACAGAATTTCTAAAGATAGAATATCGCAAATGTGCTCAGCGCCGAGGTCAAAACGGATCATATGATCATGACCACACTCCTGTCACATGGCTTGCTTTTGTCTTTGAAATCCGCGCCATCGCTTTCCTGCAGCGGTCCCAGTGCACTGCCACTGAAAAGCAAAGCCCCAAAACCGGTGCTCGGGAGGGGCCCCTCCCAAGCGGGCCCGGGCGTGCAGATGGCGCAACCAACCGTTCCTTCTGAATGCTGCCAGGTGCATCGTAGGTATTTACCAATTGCACTGCAGAACGTCCAAGCAGTCGTCCTTGGAGGAGATCTTCACACACATCTGCGAAACGAGAACTCCTCGTCAAGGCACGGGATGCCAACGCCTTGGTGGTTTCTTGCCAATGTTTCACGCACTGAGGACTATGTTCGTCAACTGGTCTGACAGCAATCACTTCCTCTGTCCGTAATCGAACGTCCGGATTTGTCTGAGAGCTTGTTTGTATCAAGCGCTTGCCGTGTTTTCTTAAGAATACGCCCACAGCGCCCTGAAGAAGGTACGGAATGCGATCAAATTCTTGTAGCGAACGGCTGAGCACAACAGTTTTGGCAGGACATCGAATTTCAGTGTTCTGTACCAGAATCTGAGCCTCATCGGTGTTCGCAGACCATGCTAAAAAGTGGCATGCTGGATCCCGCAAAGCCCTGGGCTAAAGCGGGGGCCGCATTTTCAGAAAAAACGATTGAGCGATGTGAATGCGACCTCCCGAGCAAATCCGGACATTTAATTCCAGTCGGAACAAGCATGTTATTTTGAAGAGCTGCTAGCAACAGAAATTGAGCAATATTGCAGGCCTGAGCTATTGCCGCGGGATGTTATTTGCAATATTGAGCATTATTGGGCATTATTGAGCATTATTGAGCATTATTCAGCATTATTGAGCATTATTGCATTATTGAGCAATATTGTGGACCTGAGTTATTGCCGTGGGATGTTATTTGCACAGACACCGGTACACTGCTCCCTGAAAAAGCAGGGCAATCCAACTGCGTACAGTTCAGCCCAATATAGTTTTGAGAGCATGGCATCCTCTGAGTGCCAAATTCGCAAAAACCTGATCAGAACTCTTTGCACATTTTCTGCATTATGCAGCAAAAGAGCTGCCCTGAACCCTTGAAATTGCGGAACTTTCTTATGCTAATAAAGCGTTCACTGTACGCATATTCATCCATCAATATTGGCCAATTTTATTTTCGGAGGGCTGTAAATTACATCCCTCCAGGTGTAATCATAAGTTATCCATCCAGTGATCAGGAAAATAGGCATGCAGTTCCGCTGTGAATTCACTGTGTACCAGCGTTAGAAACTAATTGGTTTCTAATTATAGTTTCTATTTAGTTTCTAATTATAATTAGTTACATAATGAGATATTCTAATTGAGCATTGGATCGTATGCGATTACAATGTTAACTGACCTCCGTCGATGGACTGGACAAGCACTGACCGCCACGGCTGATGGACGAGCACCAAATAGCATCTACGAGCTAACGATGTATGCAATCCTTGGGCGATGCAACAGTGCACCAATGTCGCACGTTGAATCGAATTTGTAAGTGTGTAAATGAGTACAAATGCAAATGCAAGCAAACACTCCAAAGCGGCCTCACCTCAGTGTCCTTGCCGAACATCGAGACCTCAGCATCAGGTGCGTTGGAAAAGTACCGAGCCTTGCAAGAATCTCCCCAAGTGCACAGTGGATTGCCAGATTGCTGCAGCCGCCTTGCTGCCAATATACCTGGCGAAAAGGCGACCTGGATATAAAGAAAACACCACATCCAACAGTAGGCGAAAGCTGGCAAAAGAGAACGCACAGAGTTTTGTCTTAATCTGTTATCTTCCTCCTTGCAATAGTTGCGGCGACGCCAAGAAACAGACAACGCCGAGTAAGGTGCAAGTGTGAGCGGCTTGGAAGAGCACACACAAACTTGTCGAAATTTTTGTCGTCCCCCTCGGAGCAGTTGGAGAAATGCCACAGGGATTTGATCATCATGAGGAGTAAAATGAGATCAAAGTGCAGCGCATGGCGGGAAGAAGAACACGACGTCCAGAATAGCCTCACACCCAATCTTGTGCCACCCACGCTGCAAAGGTACAAAAGTACTTTCCAGTACACATGCTGCGAGCTCGCTATGAATGCTGAGTGTTCGTGACTGCAAGCACATTGGGCGCTGATGAGAGCAAAACTGTACAAATGCTAGAACCATCTGTGCAAAATACACAACACTTGGATTGTATGGAGCAACATTACCCGTGTGGCAACTCTTGTCCCCTATTGCTGGAAAATGTGTTTGTTCACCGCTACGTGTACTTCATTCAGTACAACGCAACTAATGAAGAACTGAAACAACAATATAAGCAGCCTTTGCTAAGACAGGCTGTCAGATAATGCTTACTGATGATCTGCGCGGAGTTGAGAAGCGTTTCCATTAATTGTTTCAAGCTCCTCTGCGTACAACGCAGGCTCTGAAATTCCGATTGTAGCAATACCTTGGACAGTCTGGGCAAAAATTTGAGATCAGGTCGCTGCATCTGTGGTGCCATGATGAGCGGCTCCTCGGCTGTGATCTTGACGCCTCTGGCAACGGCAAGAGGGAGGGACAACAGTGCACCCCACCAGAGGCAGCCCCATATCTGAGTCCCCATTGGCACCTGCGGCACTGGCGAGAACTGGTCAAGAAAACAGCTGGAAAGCACGTTTCTAAAAAATGGATGCCCAGGGTTAGTCAACAGCTTCCCAATTCAGCATCGGGTGCGCTGCCAATGAGCAACGTATATGTGAGCCTGTCGGGCCTTGCATTTCGGCACGACAACAGACCCATCTGCATGAATCCATGCGCGGTACACTGTGTACCCCAGCCTGCAAAGCCCCCCAGTGTCCGCAAGCGCCCGTCGGCCACATGCCGATCTCGCCAGCGTCCAATCTGCACAAATCGATGCCACACGGCCGCTCGAATCGCTGCCTCTTCCCCAACCGCAAGCTTCTCAAGCTTGAGGAGTCATCAGAGCTTATGCCCTGGTGACGCGAACAGCGCCAAGGTAGACAGAGACACGCACAGCCGCCCGAGGAGACCTGGCCGGGTCCGCAGCCCGAGCGATTCGATTGCTGCGGGCGCAAAAGCGGGCGATGGGCAAGGATGGCGACAAATCCTCGACCACGAAGGAAAACTGCTTGCAACTCTGTCAGCGTCGGAGCATAAAGCAGCTTGGAAAAGAGTCTCCAAGAACTTCCCCCACACTTGCTTAGGAAAGTGTGCCCTTTGCATGAACCGTTTCCCTTCTTTCTGCAACGGCGCTCTCCCACCCACTCAACTCCCTTACTCCCAGCCCCAATCCCACCCCCTTTTTGCTTTGTCGCAGGTTGTGGCCCACCGGCGAGGTGCGCCAATGAAGCGTCGTGGTAGTTATGGTCCAGAGGTGGGGCGATCGCTCATGCGAAGGCCCAGGTCAGAAGAACGCGCCCTTGTGGTCCCGCGGCGCCGCCCGCGACCTGAGGGGAAGTTTGGCGAAGCGAATCGCGTGGAAGCGTGCCGCCATCGACCAGCCGCGGCGCAGGCGCCAACAGCGTGCACCATTTCGTGCCACGAGTTGCCAGGCAAAGATTCCAAACAGCGGATTTGCTGCCTCTTCGGCATCGGGCAGCATGCACACGTTCGTGGAGGAAAGGCACAGGCCGACGCGACCATCTCAGGGCCGCAGTGCCAGCCCACGTGGACAGCCCGTGGCAAAGCGTCTCCGAAACGTGAGAATCGAGACGCGCGGCAACGACGGGGATACGCGGGGGTCCGCGGACCGCAACCTATGCGCACCTTTGCTCGCCGGCGAGGGCGGCCACAGAGCAGGGCAGGAGACCTCAGCACCCCTCTGGGATTTGGGAGCTTTGGGAAACTGCGGCGCCACCGGCTCGGACCGAGTTAACTCGCCCGGCATTTTCGCTGCCAGACTGCATTATCAGGACGACGTCAATTTTGGATCCGTGGGTGGAGTCTGACTATTGGCAGTTGTGTTGGGTGTTCTTCGTGATGCCGTTGGCAGTCGCTATGTGACTGTACTTAACACTATGCTGATTTGGCACCGCTACACCCGATCTCCCCGACTGTACGTCGGAATTCTCTGGCAGAACTGTTGCACGGCTTCATGCCCTCCCTTCAATCAGTCGTGCATTTTTGCAGGCATCAACTCACAGCAGCTGTCCACAAAATAGTTCACAGAAATGGGTGCTAGGAACGCCGCAGCGTATTCCCTTGCTAGTTTTGGGTGCCTTTCTTAGCCGCCATTGCAGACGTTTTGGTCAGAAGTTCCGGCCAGTGTTTGCCGGCGGCCAATCAACCAAAAGTTGGCTGAAATGCCATGTGCGCCAAGCAGCGGTGCAGGTAGCCTTTCTGTCAAGGTTTCTGCCAAGGTTCTGTCTTAATTTCGGGGCGGATGTCTCACCTCGTGGAACTACATGCAAGGGACTCTCAGGGATATGGCCATAATGCGCGGAGGCCAAAACTTCGAACGGCGCCGATGTTACTGCCCACGGGCATCAAGTTTGTGGCCACAAACAAATTCCATGAGTGTAGGAGAATGTCGTTACTGGGGAAGCACCGTTCATTGCAAAACGGATAGAGAATTGAATTGGAACTTGTGTCGAGTCGAAGTCCATATAAAGTTGTGAGCATTGGCAAGAGGTCTGCTCGCCAGCGCCGCTGTCGGGTGCGAGACGCACGGCATGTCAGAGGACCACGCCAAGAAATTTCTAAATAAGGCGAACGACTTTTCGCAAAAATGCGTTACCTCGTAAATCCCTCCAATCCGCAATATCTCATAATCTTAATGTCTCGATTCAAAGCGGGCCTTGCATGCATCTTCACCCCAGAAGCACAGTGGAGCATCAAACTGAAGCAGCCTCCTCTCTGCAGACAAGTATGAAGGGTCTGCGACATGGTTGGAGAAATTGAGGCCAGAAGCTTTTGGTGCTGGGCATATAATTATAGTAATCAAGCTACCAGGGTGGCGCTTCCCAATTCCACATAATAGAACATAACAAAACTACTGCGTTGACTGGTGGAAGAGAGCTCGCAGTCAAGGGTGGTGCTTAAATTAAAATGGTTCTCAGTTCATGTACAATACAAAGAAGCATTATCAAATCTATTCTCGGTAGGTTTCGACAATCGAACAGCAAGCCGGCCATCCTAACGCAAGCAAGCAAGATAGGGGCGTTTGGAAGCAAAATTTTGGAGAAAAGAGGTGCGAAATTACTTACAAGGCACACCACAGTCGGAAATAATTGAGTAAGCCCTCGGGCATGGCAGCTGCTGTCCCATGGTCACATGCATTGACGTATATTTGATGCAGCGTCAATTAAACAACACAGTATGAGGTACACAGTCTGACTGAGGTATGATGTTTGCAGATTCCTGTGTTAGGCAACTGCCAGAGGATGCTCCGCAATGCTCCATACTGATCCAAGGAAATTCTAACACGTCTTGTGAACACTTAAGAGATTGGAAGTGCGTTTGGCAGGCTGTGCAGCCACTTGACGTGCTCTTGCTGCAGCTGTGGCATCACGGCGACCTGCTGCTCCCGTGTGACCTCAACGCCAATGAAAATGGCAAGGCAGAAGCACAAAAGATGACTCCATGAGAAGGAACCTCGCACCTGAGTTCCATTGGTACCTGCGGGACTGGCGGGAAGTATTCAAGAGACTGGCGAGACAAAAGCTGGAACTTTTTGCCGCACAAAAGCATAATTTAAACATCTGTCTTTTGGCAGTTGGCGCAGTTCAGAGCATAAGATGTGCAACAATTTAAAAAATTTTAGGCGTTCAAAAACGCTGCACATACGTAAAATTTGCTTGTTTGCTTTGCGCGATTTTATTTCCGGTTGATGAGGGAAGGAAGAATTTGAAGCACGGCACAGCTGTCCGGAATTGCCTAGCTTCATGCAAACATCAAGATGTGAAGTGCGTCATCAACACATGCTGCAAATGAACCTTAGGGAGGCTGCTTGAACACATCGACAGAACAACAAGTAATGACAGATTGCCAGTCGACGGATTGGCGACCAAGCAAACTGTAAGCTCTCTGCTGGCAGCTGCATGATGATGAGCGGACTCAGCATTTTATTTGTCTTGCACAGGTAGGCCGGATGGCCAAGCCTGCTGTCCACAAAGGAATCGGATCAATGGCGCTCCCGAAGTCTACAACCTTGAGAACACAGGCTCAGACACATTGATCTCGTTGCCCTTGGCACGCCTGCAAAATGCTTACACCCCATGGGGGACAAAATCCTTTTGCAGTCGGCCGGGTCTCACATGTTGCCACGACTTACAATCTCATCTGAACGAATCCGTGTGGGGCAGCATGCGTCTGGCCTTTCGGCAGACACCCACAGCTTCCCCTCACTCCCAACATCGATTCGAGTAGCTCTTTGCGGGACTTGTTACTTTACAGTATTGTTGGGACACTGTCCTGAAAGCAGGCCATCAATACTCGCCGGCGCCCAACTTCAATGATTGCATGGCGGCGCGAGTCCGCGCCATTTGGCAATTGCGTATGATTCGAGCGCTGGCGCCTTGTGCATGCAAAACCGCACGCAGAAACCTGCTGCGAACTCGCCTGAACGAAGCGTTCCTCACACTAGGAAAAAAAGGGCCAAATAACACGTGTTCAAATGTGTACAAAGTTTACGGGTTTGTGTTATTTTTGTGTTCTTAGCGTGTAGAACTTTGATGAAATGTGTTTTTTGAGTGTTCGCGAAAGTGTTATTTGGCCCTTTTTTTCCTAGTGTCATGGCCCCGAACCATTCGAGTGCCAAGGGCACAAAGGCGCGTGAATTCACTGCCCTTCACTGTGGTGGGGACCGACCCCAGGTCCATGGCAACTCTGCGATTACTTCAAAGCCGAAACTTGCACACTAGGAAAGCAGGGGCCAAATAACACGTGTTCAGGCGTGCACAAAATTTTACGGGTTTGGGTTATTTTCGTGGTTTTAGGACTTTCGTTCAACGGCAAAACCAGGAAAAGAAGAAAAACTCTCTCTGGGGCGGCGGCTTATCTCCCATCCGTTGATGTGGTGAGGCGTGGACCCCAGGACGCGCCTCTCAGTGCTCGACATTCTCCCTGCCCACGCCGCACGATAATTGGCAACCGGGGCGGCCACTACTCTCCATGCGGGGGCGCCCGTCCCCACAGGAGCGCCCCGGCACTCCCGTGGCATTGTATGAGCACCGACAGAAAACTTCCGCAAAGCGGGCCGCGTCAAAGGACCACGCCGTCTCCGACATGCCAAGGCACCGCGCCAGTGCCGGCCGCTGCCCCCGTTTTGGATAAGTCACAAGCTTGTGGGCCTCAAGGGCGAGATGCCTAACAGGGAGATCTTCTGCCATTCCAGCATTGCAGGGGAGGCGCGATACCACGCTGGCGTTGGCTCAATCCGGTGCGCCTAATCCAGGGCAGCATGGCCAATCTGCACAAATCCCTGTTGCATGGCAGCCCCGAACACTAGTAGAAAACAGCATGCTTGCGATGCCATTTCGACACAAATTGATGCCATCACAGCCACTTTTTATGCCATCGCAACCACCGTGATGGCATCATTTTGTGTCGAAATAGCATCGCAGTTGGCATCGCAAACATGACGTTTTCTACCAGTGAAAATAG